CTCCCCCCAGGTCTAAACATCTTTTGGCAGAAGCATTCAACAGATCAAAATATGTGGTGCATTTAGGATGTTGGTCCTCTTGGACATGCTGCCACTGTAAGTGTCATCAAGTAGACAACTCACAGTGACTTTCAGCAATCCATTGTATAGGTGATCATCTTCTCTGGTTTTCCAAGGAACCCCAAACCTGCAGATGGTGGGGCACACGTCCCCCCCATGGGTGGCAGGGCGCGTGTCGTCTCTTCTGTGCGGGTGGTTGGCGGACACGCACCATCCCCCAGCACAGGTGACTGGCAGGCGTTTGCCATCTCCCGCATGTCATCTCCCACGCAGGCAGCTGGCGGGCACGTATCATCTCGTGCACATGCGACCGGCGAGCGCACGTCCGCTCTTGGCGGGCACGCGTCATCTCGTGCACGGGCAGCCGGTGGGGGTAGGTGCGTGTGTCATCCCCCAGCGCAGGCAGCTGGCGGGCACACGTCATCTCGTGCGCGGGCGACCGTAGGGCTCGCATCATCTCTCGGCGGGTGTGCGTCATCTCTTGGAGTGCTCGTGTCATCTCGTGTGCAGGCAGCCAGTTGTCCAGCAGGCACGCCATCCCCCACACAGGCGATTGGCAGGTGTGCATCATTTCTTTGTCGACAGCTGCCAGGTGCATCCCATCTTCCTTGCCGGTGGCTGGTGGGCGTGAGCCATCTCCCAAGTATCATGTCCCATATGGACGATTGGCAGGTGCATGTCATTTCGTGTGCGGGTGACCTGCGGGCGCGTGTCATCTCTCGGCAGGCGGGCGTCATCTCGTGCACGGGCAGCTGGTGGGGGTGGGTGTGCGCCATCCCTCCACGCAGCCGGCCAGTGGGCACACTTCATCTCTCGGCTTGCGTACACCATCTCCTGCGCAGGCAGCCAGCGGGTGCGCACCACCCCCCAGTGCAAGGCGGCCAGCAGGTGTGCGCCCTCTCACACACGGGTGATTGGCAGGCACGTGCCATTCCCCATTGCAGGTGACCAGCGGGTTTGTGCCATCTCGTGTGCGGGTGGCTGGTGGGCACGTGCCATTCCCCCGCGTGGGCGGCCACCGGGCGCGTGCCATCTTTCGCATGGGTGGCTGGCGGGTGTGAGCCACCCCCCGAGTGTCATCTCCCACACGGGTGGCTGGCAGGCACGCGCCATCCTGTGTGCAGGAAGCCGGCTGGCGCGTACCATCCCCCACGCAGGCAGCCGCTGGGCGAGTGCCATCTTCCATGTGGGTGGCCAGCGAGCACAAGCCATCTCCCGCACGTCATCTCCCACAAGGGCGGCTGGCGGTCGTGCTTCCTCTCACACGTGGGAGGCCAGTGTCCGCCCACTTCCCCTGCCACCGCCATCTTGGCTCCAAGAATTCTCCTCGGAACAAGTACACTTTGCTGCAGTGTGGTGGCTCCACCGCACCAGTCCTGGGGAGGCCTGGTGCTCACCCTCCATCCTGGGCGAGGGATTCCATAGGTTCCAGCTGTGGGAGCTTCATGGAGCTGCGGCTGCGGTGAGGTGCAGTGCAGGCTCTGCGGGAGGGGATTGGGAGCTGTGGCACTCACCCATTCTTCCTTGGAAATCCTTGAATTCCTGTTGTTGAGCCTCAGTCCTCACTGAAGACCAGTCATCAACTGTTTAACTGTTCAATTATTAATAAAGAGAGGTCCGTAGAGGGTCATAATGGCCCTTTTCCAAGTGGTCCGCTGCTCCCGCAGCTCACTACATTGTCTCTGCCTCCGCCGCCATCTTGGATCTCTCAAAATCTGTATTGTTTTAAGCCCCTAACATGGAGATGTTTGTTACAGTCACCACAGATTATATGGTAGACTTCAGGACTTCGTCCTTGCCACAACATTTTTCACTGAGGAATACCATGTAGTCTTCATAATTCCCACCTCCAGGAAGCCTTCCCTGATGCCCAGCCCAGGCAAGGATTCTTGTCCTTCCCTCAGAGCACAAGCCCCCGTTTGGGACTTCTTTCTCTCTCTCTCTCTTGCTGGAGACCAGGTAAACTGTCCTGCTCCCCACTGACTCACTGACCTGGCACCCAGAAATAATGGATGAGTATAGGAAAAGGTGGCACTTTGAGAAAGAAATATTCCTCCTGAAATGGGAAGATTATGATGTTCTTTTTTTAAAAATTTTTTTTTAAATTTTATTATTTTGTGTGTGTGTACCGTCAAATCAGATCCGAGAGGTACAGGAAGAGATTGCCCCACTTCTCCGGCAGAGCATCTGGTGGATTTGAACCGCATATCTCTTGGATTGCAGTGCAGCTTCTTGCCACTAGGCCACCAGAGCTCCTGATTATGATGTTCTTAATGTCACTGAAGGAAACAATAACACCAGGGCTGTTAGACTGATATTAGCTAAATGGCCAAAAACCTTCTCCTGAAGCTGTGCAGGTCCCGTGGATGCTCTTTGACAGGTGAATTCCCATTCCTCCTTCCCTCACAGGTTTGCAATGGAATTAATGGCAGAAAAAGGCCACACATTTGCCGAAGAGCTTCAGAAAGTGAGTAGCATCGTTTCCGCCCCCAGCCTGCTTTAGTGAGGGAAGAGTGAGGTGCCCCCGCTAACAGAGTGCTGTTCTTGCCTTCTTGTGTCTCCCCCAGATCCAGTGCACACTGCAGGAGGTTGGCTCTGCCCTTGCCACACCCCGCTCCTCGGCCAGGGAGGCTCACTCAAGTAAGCCGTGAACCTGCTGTGTGTGCTGCCAGGGCTCCTGGGTGGGGGACTGGGACCCCGGAGCAGGTTCTGCCCTGAATGCCACCACCTGAGACTTACAGGTGGACCAGTCAGCCTGGCTCACAGGAACAGGGAGTTAAGGTACCGCCAGGACACAGGGAGTTAAGGTACTCCCTGAACACGGGGAGTTACAATATACCCCCGGACATGGGGAGTTACAGTAGCCCCTGGACACGGGGAGTTAAAGTACCCACTGGACATGGGGAGTTACAGTACCCCCTGGACACAGGGAGTTATAATATACCCCCGGACATGGGGAGTTAAGGTACCCACTGGACATGGGGAGTTATGGTACCCCCCAGACACTGGGAGTTACGGTACCTCCTGGATACGGGGAGTTAAGGTACCCCCTGTGTTCATGGACAGGGTTTGTGCAGCATCTTGGGCATGAGGGTGTGGAGCTGTTTCCTTGGCAACATGCAAAGGGCCTCATGGCATTGTCTTTCTGCTCCCCGACTCCTCAGAACACACAGCGTTCGGAGAGGAGCCGGCCCTGGAGCTGGAGCAGTGGATTGACAAGTACTCCAGCCAGCTCCCGCCTCTCACGGCCTTTATTCTGCCTGTAGGTATTGGACGGCTCTCCTGGGGGGGCTGGAGGGAGAGGGCTGCCAGCCTCATTCATTGTCAGAGGCACCTGGGCCTCCCCTGCTGACACAGAAAGGTCCCCTAAGGCCTCTCCAGCTCTCCGCCATACCCTGTGCACATTGAAAGAGGAGGCGGGGCATACTCCCCACATGGAGGCCAGGCTTGCATGTCTGGGGGCCCCTGACACCTAGACCTCTGTCCCACTCAGCACCCACTTTCTCCTCCTTTCAGTCTGGGGGCAGGAACAGCGCCGCACTGCACCTGTGCCGGGCCGTGTGCCGCCGAGCTGAGAGGCGGTAAGGGGGACCAGGGAAGGGGTGCCATAATGAAGGTTGTGACGTGGGGGGGAGGCATGGTGGGGTCCCGCCACTCAAGGACAAACCTTCATGCCCAGGTCCCTGTGCCCTAGCCCTTACATTCTTGGGGGGCATGCCCAATAAACCATTGCCCGTTACCAAACCAGCATGCATGAGCATTGCCATTGAGTTGATTTTGATTCATGGGGGCCCTGTAGTACGGCAGACCAACCCTGGGCTTTCCAAGGCCATAATCTTTAGAGAAGCAGATGGCTGCGTCTTTCCTTCCTGGAGGACCAAAGCCAAATGTCTAACCATTGTGCTGTACCATGGCTCCTTAAACGAAGCATTGCGTGCCATAAATGGACCTCACAACAAGCACTGTGTGGGAGACGTGTGTGAAAAGGGTGAGTGTAGCTGTGCTTCCTGTGTGTGATTGTGCAGGAGCTGCGTGGATGGGGTGATGGTGACAAGGACCACAGGGAAGCGTATGGGACACCAGGGTGCCCCAACCCCGGTGGGATGTGGACAGCAATGTCTCTCTTTCTCTCTAAGAGCCACGCAGCCATGGCTGGAGGCTAAAGGAGGAGGAGAAGGGACAAGGCGGAGCCCACATGGGGCAATAGCAGCATGAGGATGCAGGGAGTAAGGGGACACGTGGGATGAGACACCGCCAGAGGGGTGGGCAGAGGTGGAGCGGGCCCAGCGGGGGGGTCTGCACCTATCCTGAGAACAGTGGGAAGCTACTGATGGGCCCTTGGTGTTGAGATCTACCCAGAATCTGGAGTCTCTGACAGGCCACTTCCGTGCTTCAAAAGGAACTGTAGCTGCTGGCTGGAGAGAGGGCTGGAGGGGCCAGTGAGCCAGAGGTCCAGGTCAAAGCCATCAGCGTGTCCACTCCAAACCCTCCTGCCTCAGGTGGGGGTGAAGGCACCTGCCGAAGCTCCTGACAGCCTTCTCAAGTCAGAAGAAATAATTGCAAAATCTACACTTACCATCCACAGAGCAGCACACAGCTTCACGGAAGAATGGGCACAAACTCTAACTTTGATACAACAGGCCTGGGCAGGCACTTTCTGTTGATGATTCCCCAGGTTAAAGAGGCAGTGGTTCCTCCTGTCACAGGAAGGAGAAAGTTGGGGCACAGTGAGGTTATGACATGGAGGAGTCAGGATTTGAGCCCAGGTCTGCCTGATCCCAAACCTGTCTAGCTCTTGCCACAATCCCACATTCCCATGGCGTGTCTGAAACCCAGAAGCCCTTTGTCCCAGAAAGGATCCTGGACTTTGGCTCCCAGAGAATCCTGCAGTTACGTTTGCAAAGCCATCCACTTCACCTGGACCCAGAATAGCAAACAGCTGCAAAGCCAGAGCCCCAGCAGTGGGGACTGGCAGAGCAGATGAGGGTAATCAACACCCAAGTGAGTTACACGGCACTGGAGTGACAGCAGGCTGTCCGTGCTGTTGACACTGCAGACTAGCCAGGGGACAAACCCAGTGCTGAGTGTAGCAGGGGGCAAATGAGGCCCAGCTGCAAGGAGCGAAGCTTTTGACACACATCCTATTGGGCTCTTTGCTGCCTGCGTGGCCTGGGGTAGAGACTGAAACCCTGTGCCTTGGTTTTGTCAACCTGAAAGTGAGAGCGTGGCTCCCAGCAGAGGCTGGGCAGGTAGGAGTGCTTTGTGGGAAGGCCCTGCCCAGAATGCCCCGTGTCTGCCTGCACTCAGCACCCGGTGGCCTCCTGTCTAGAAGACCCACACAGAGACTGGCCAGGGCTCACCCAGATTGGGGAGTTTGGTTTGCCTGGCTCTTTCTAGCCTCTGTGAAGTCTTAGTCCCTGTGAGGTTGCAGACAGCACCCTTGACTGCCAACCAAAATGTTGGAGGTTCCATGCTACCTAGAGGTGCCTCTGAAGAATGTCCTGGCAATCTACTTCCACAAAAACTCACACCCTCCCCGAACCCTGTGGAGGTTTCTGCTTTGCTGCATATGGGGCTTCTGTGAGATAGTGGCAACTAAAATTTCCTCTGGGAAGGAAAAGATAACTTCTCCCCTCCACTGCACCCAGCGAGGATTTCTGGGCAGGCTAGGATATGGGTGCACTGACGACCCTCCACCATTCTCCGTCCCTCCACAGCCAGGCCACTCCAGTAACCTGCCCCCAGGAAAGGGGTGGGCACCTGGGGTAAGCACAACGAGGTGACTGCTCATGTGTGAATGCTGGTGGGTTCTGTGCGGGTTCAGGTTGGGGGAAGGCAGGCTGTGGAGCTCAGGCCCCCATCTCAGGAACTGCGTGTCATGCAGTCTGATGGTGTGTCTCATCCTTTACAGCGTGGTACCTCTTGTCCGCATGGGAGAGACGGACGTGAACGTGGCCAAGTTCTTAAACAGGTACTTGAGCTGACCTCAGGCAATGCCTCCCCATAACCCCTGAGCACTTTCTGTGGGAAATAGTCTCCATGGAGTAGACCCGAGGAGTGATCAGTCACTTAGTCCCAGCTGGACACCTCTCCTGTCCTGCAGGTTAGGACCTTGACATAGAGACTGCTGTAGATAAAGCCAGCAAAGAAACCAGCACAGAGGGGCAGAGCGATGGCAAGGGGGTCCTCTGAGGTTGGATGTCTTGAAGGGACTGACCAGGGAGCCCAGAAATTGGGACCCTTCTCCTAGCCAGTCTCCCCATCTTACCCCCAGAGCCCTGGGCAGTATAAACAGGGAGAAGGCAGCTGTGCTTTCCAGACTGTAGGTCCCAGGCCAGGTCCAGGACGGGGGACAGTGACTCCCACTCAGCCTCGGCAGCCCAAAGCCCACCCCGCCATTTCCGCTCTGGGGCCCACCTCCATCTCGGCTTGGCTAGTGCGAGCCCCACGGGCAAGGGGTGAGCTGGAAGAAAAGAAAAGTGGGACCTGGATCTCGGGAGGCTTCCCCACCTCCAGGTAGCCAGAAACAGACCCCAGGACTGCTGTTGATTCTCCCCCTTCCGTGGGGACTTCACTTGGTGGATCCTGACAGCCACCTGGGAGTGGGTGGGGGCTCCCTGGATTGATACATGAAGACCTGCTTTGCTCCATCTTCACAGCTCAGCTTCTGGGGTCCATGACAATGAGGGCCGGGTCTGTGCCTCAGCAGGGCCTCTCAGAGCAAGGGCATCGCTGCCCCAGAGGCCACGGACCAAGCCAGCCTGAACCTCACAAGACTCCTGGGGCCTGTCAAGCCTGGAGCCCACTTTGAGAAGCACCATTCCTGGCAACTTGAAGAGGCAGAAACCAGTGCAGGAAGTGGCCAGAGGCACCTGTGTTTTGGGGCCAGGAGCAGGGCAGACAGGGTCCTTGTCAGCCCTGGAGTTTAAGTGGAGGGGAGCACGTTGGCTACAGGCGTGGAAGGTTCACGTGAGTGCCATCCATCAAGGCCAAGTTGGACATCGTTGCCCCAGGGCACAGTTCAGGCTTCCTCCTTGCTGGCTGATAGGGAAAGTATCCACTTAGCATTGATTTCTTGTCGCCAATCATCCCTTTATTTCTCTTGCTGCAGACTCAGCGACTACCTCTTCACCTTAGCCAGATACACAGCCATGAAGGAGGGCGAGACTGAAAAGGTATATAAGAAGCCCTGAGCGTCCGAGCCGCACACGAGGTGCTGACGGTGACAAGCAGAGGTTGACCCATTGGTGGTGCTGATGGCCGAGAGGTGAAGGGGAGAATTTGCTCCTCTTTGTTGGGTTCCCGAAGGGGAGGCAGAGGCTGAGCACTGGCTTTGGCTCAGAGCCCTTGCCATGTCCCCTCAGGAAATGGTCAAGGACCTTGTCGTCAAGGACGGTGGGAATTGATTCATTCTGCAAAAGAGTAGAAGGGGAGAGCCCTACAGAAAACAAGAATAAAAGCAGGAAAGGCTGAGTTTATGTGTGTGTGTGTGTGAGAGAGAGACAGACTGACAGAATACACCCATGAGCGACAGTGTGCTGACAGAACGCACCTGAGTTTGAGCGACTGCATGCTCAGATTATTCAAGGATTTGGACCGCTCCCAGCGACCCTTGGAAATGTAATTGTGATTTACCTGTGCCAGAGGGCCTCTAAATGTCACATTTATAAAGGAGCAGGCAGGCAGGATTTGGAAGTTTAGTCACCTCTGAGCCACCCATCACCGCCACAGTGTGAGAAGGCTGGCCGTAGATTTACGGGGGAGCAGGCAGAAATAGTCCACTAGACTGAAGGAGAGGCGACCTGTAGAACCAGCTCTAAAGACAGGGGGACTCGAGAGGACCACTGCCACTCTGGGAGGGCATTTCCGCCTCCTACCCAGGAGTATGGGGTCTGGGATCTCTGGGGGTCTGGACTCTAGCCCAGAAAATAAGATCTTCAGTTTGCCACCACGCTGACACCGCCAAGATGGATTTCCCTGAGGTCGCCCTTGGCTGGTTTATGCCTCTAGAAGCGAACGTATTTTATTCCAGTTGTCACCCCCTGCTCCCTCCCGCCACCGCCAGTGCCAGCCATGTCCTTGGGAGCAGGGATATTTATGAAGGACGGAGAGGCAGCCCTGAGCACTTAAAGACTCCATGCTGCTAATTGCAGGAAATGACTTTTTCGGAAGGGCAGGCTCTTGCTTACTGTCAGCGCCAGTGAGCTCAATCTAACAGTCATTTATTTCCTGGGACCTACGTAGCATGGAGCTCTGGTGGCTTAGTGGGGAAGGAGTTGTGCTGCCGACCCAAAGGGACAAGGTTCAGATCCACCAGCTGCTCCATGAGTGAAAGATGATGGGCAATCTGAAAACCCAGGGAGGGTCAGCTCTGAGCCGGTTGGTACTGACACTGTGGTATAGAAAACAAGTTTCGCATGAGGCACCGAGCTAGGCTGGGGCAGGCCGGCCATGCCCTGTCCTTGCTGGCAGGGCACCACAGATGCATGGCTGCCTTCTTGCCATCTCGCCCGCTGATGTTGAAGGAGCCATGGGCATGCTTGTGGGACTCACGTAAGCCCTGAAGATGGAGCAGTTGGGACGGGTGACCCCTCAGTGTATCTCATCCAGAAGGTGGCCACATGCCGTGACTCCCTCTCCCCTGACTCCTGGGAGCCTAATTGGTGCTGTTTGTTGTTATTCATTGCCATTGAGTCCAAACTGACTTCTAGCTGACTCTCCAGCAGGTTTTCAGAGGCTGAAAACTGTGCACCTTTAGGTTGTCAGCACACTAAGTAGGTTGTTAGCACCACTAATCTATCAGAGCTCTGGTGGCCCTAGTGGTAAGGAGCTGTGCTGCAATCCCAAAGGTACCCGGTTCCAATCTACCAGATGCTCCACAGAAGAAAAATGGGCAATCTCCTCCTGTGCAATTAACTGCCTCTGGAAACCCGCCGAAGGGTCAGCTATGGGTTGGTTCCAACCTGATGGAACACAACAACAGCCAGAGCTGCATGTTTAGCCCCAGGAAATCCATGACATGCAGCAGCTGGTGCCTTTGCTTGGCAACACCCCTGTCTACCCACTATGGCCCCAGAACTCAGTGAGTGCTCAGTGTTTGTAAACAGAATTGCAAACAGGAAGTCAACGCACAAGTGTTTCAGGAGAGACTGATAGTGTCTAGGTGGGGCGGACAGGATGTTCAGCTGCTAGCTGAGAGGTTGGAGGTTCATGTCCACCCAGAGACACTCCAAAAGAGAAGCCTGGTTGTTTACTTCCCATCGCAAAGCCCTATGACAGGCACTAGTTCTCCTCTGTCTGACACATGTGGGTGGTCATAATCGATAGCAGTTCTGTCATCGTGGTTTAATGGCAATTAGCTGTGTCCTCTAAGCCCAGGCTCAACCAAGAGAAAATCGCTCAGTTCTTTCTTCCCTTAGAATCCTTCCTGGAAGGAGTGGGATATAATACGACATCTGCCCCACTCTCTTCACCATGGGTAGACATCCTGAAAAAAGATACAGCATCCCCAAGCAGCCATCTTTGAAAAGAAGCCTGTGCGGGTCCTACCCCCTCCAGCCCTTCCCAGGACAGGCCATTGTAGGACTAGTGTGAGCATCTGGGCTCCCAGGTCCAGCTCTGACACCTTCTCATGCACTAGCAGTGGTGACCCAGAAAAACTGTCCAGTGCAGGGCACACTCACCTTCCCTGGAAAGGACTTCTCCCTCGCCCCTCTAGCCCAGGAGAACACTTCCCTCCTTAGGCCCAGGCGATGGCTGGGGTGCAACATCTGCTCTTCAACCGGGCTGCAACGAGTCACACTGGAATCAGAAGTGAAAGGAACAGTGCAGCCCCTTTAAGGAGCTCTGGTGATGTGGTGTGGTAAATGTTGAGCTGCTAACTCAAAAGTGAGTGGTTCAAATCCACCAGCTGCTGTGTGGGAGAAAGATGAGCAGTCTCCTCCCATAAATACAACTTAAAAAAATCCAATGGAGGGAGCTCTGGTGGCCTAGTGGCAAGAAGCTGCACTGCAATCCCAAAGGCACACGGTTTGAATCCACCAGATGCTCTGCTGGAGAAGGAGGGGCAATCTCCTCCTGTACCTGTCAGATCTGATTAGACGGTACGTACACATAAAATAAATAAGTAGCATCACAGCAATGAAGCATTTGCCTATGAACCAAAAATGTCAGTGGGCTATTTACGGGGGCTTGCTAGGAGTGAGAACGGACTGACAGCAGTTGATCTTATTTTGGTTTTTGTTTAAAGTACTACATTAATAGTCTTGTGGGCCCAGAGTGTCTGTTAAGGGTGATGGGAGCATTTGGGGGCTGGGTAGTGGAGGTGGTTGCATAGAACACACGGCAACAGTGAACTAACTGTATACATACAAAACGCTGAAATGGGACATCTTTTGTTATATATAATTCCCCCCCCAAATCTCTATCTTTATTCTCAGTTTCTTGCTATTATCCAGATAATAAAATCCAATCATACAAAACCATGTGAACTCCATTTTATTTATATATTCATATATATACTATTGTTGTTGTCATGTGCCTTCAAGTCACCTGTGACTCATTGATACCCTATGTACACATCTGAACACTGCTCTATCCTGAGCCAACTTTACCCCAGTCACTGAATCTATCTATCTCATCGAGGGTCTTCCTCTCCTGTGCTGTCCCTCCACCATCCCAAGCATGATGTCCCTCTGCTGCAGTCCTTGACCTTCTGCAGCAAGTACTTCAGGTCCTCCTCAGTTTCAGAAGTGTGTGTGTGTGTCTGTGTGTATTTCAACAAATCCCAAACCTCAACATTGTATTAAAATATTACTTTTCTAACTCAGTGACTGCTTTGGCAAAATTACCAAAATTTTGTACCTAGGTTGATTCCTAGTGTGCCCTGCTCACATCCAGGTTGGGCTCTTTTTCTCAGATCGCTCACTTGCTGTCATGTCAGAATGGACCCCTAGCCTATCCTCCAGCATGTTGCGCTGCCAACCCAAAAAACCATGGTTCAAATCCACCAGCTGCTCCACAGAAGAAAGATAAGCTATCTTCCATGCAGTTTACTGCCTTGGAAAACCCACTGGAGGGCCTGCTATGAGTTGGTTCTGACTCAGTGGTCCACACTACCACCACCACCAAATCACATAGGAAGAGATTGTCAATCTTTCTTCCTCAGAGCAGCTGGAAGGTTTGGACTGCCTGCCTTTGAGTTGGCAGTACAGCTCCCTTCCCACTAGGCCCCTAAATCTCCCTGATTTTAGAGCTAAATCGTTACTGCCAGCCTGTCTCTAGCTGACCCCATGTGTGCAGGGCAGAATTGCCCCATAAGGTTTCTGCAGCTGTAACCTTTTGGGAACAGATCCCCAGTTCTGTCTTCTGAAGCATCTCTCGACGGGTTAGAGCTGCAAATCTCTCAAGAAGCTAGTACTTCAGCACCTAACAGCTTGTGCCCCAACAAGGACTCCTGGTTACTGAATATTTCACCCAACAGACCCCAACGACTTGACTGTTGGATGGAGAGGAGATTGAGACTGGCAACAGAGTCATCTTGCTTGGACCCACAATTAAGACCTTTGGTAGGAGCAGTCAGGAAATAAGGAGATGCATTGTATTGGGAAAATCTGCAGTTAGGGACCTCTCCAAATTATTGAGGAGTAGTGATGTCAGTTTGAAGACTAAGGTGCATCTGATTCAGACCATAGTCTTTCTAATTACTAGCTATGCATCCGAGACCTGGACAGTGAATAAGGATGGCAGAAAAAGAATCGACACCTTTGAGCTGTGCTGTTGGAGAAGAGCACTGAACATCCCATAGACGGCCAAGAGAATAAACAGATATGTCTTGGAGCGAGTGAAGCTGGAGTGCTCTGAGGAGACAGAATGATGAGGTTTAGCCTCATGTACTTCTGGCATGTTGCTAGGAGAGGCTATTCCTTGGTGAGGGACATGATGCTGAAAAGGGTGAAAGGTCGGCGAAGGAGAGGAAGACCCACAACCAGGTGACTCCTGCAACGGGCTCTTGTGTGTCAGGAAGTGTGAGGATGGTGCAGAACAGAACAGGGTTTCAGACATTTTATTCATAGGCTCGCCATGAGTCGTGCTTGACCTGACGGCACATAACAACAACAACAACAGCAGCAGAACCTAATGTTAGGAATGACAGCAGCCAGCATGCTGGACACATGGGCCATATACTCCACAG